ATTTATGATTCACATTCAGTAAACTGAGTAGTATTATGGAGTGATATAATTTGTAGTTAAAATATAGTGAACCACAATTACTTGGTTTTCGAATTCTGATATGTTTTCCATCTACCTCACCTGCACAGGTAGGAAAATATTTTTTTTCAATCTTCAATCACAATCTTTTTTTTTTGGGGAATTTTACATACATGTCTTTGTGAGACTCGTTATATCAGTTTGAACATTTTGTCAATTATAATTGAAATTACATTTGGATTGATTCGAAATCGATATGAGGCAGACGCAAATGACTACCCTGTTGCCAAAGATCTGAAATAAAAATTAATTGATGATGTAAAAACATAAATTTTTTTATAAATTATATATAAAACCTATATAAAATTTTATAAATTATATTGTAATTTTGTATACTGATTTGAATTACTGATTTTAGATACTAACGTTATAGTAACAGTAAGACCTAAAAAGCCAATAGTTTTTCTGCAGTTTGTATATCCAATACAAAAATTAGATTCTACCAATTCTACAAGTTTTTGGAAACAGGGCTTCCTCAAGCAATATTAACTTTAAAATTTAATAAAATCATTTAATAGAATGGAATATAAAACAAAGAATTCTCCTTTTAATGTCTTTTTAAAAATATGTCATGCTGCCAAACTGTCCTACGCCTACGAAGCTAGTCACATCAAATAAGTGATGGCAAGTTTCTATACTGGCATTGTATTTTTTTTTTCTATAGTAAAATGCTGAGGCAAGCGTCACGGAAGAAGCGCCACGAGACTGCCTCACGAGTAGCGTCACGAAATAAAGGTCTTCACATCGATTTACTACTCCATTAATTCGTTTATAGTGATTACATAATTTTTAACGTTAGTGGTTATTTCCTTTCAAACTATAATCAAATTTTATTATAAACATCTAATTTATTTTGTATAACAATTACATTTAATATCAAATTATTGAACAAATATCAAATTATTTGATATAAGGCTGAATGCTCGAATAAATGAACTTTAAAAAATTAAGGTCAATATCAAGCACAAATTTGATAATAAAATCTTGCCCAAGTACTTTCGCTTTCTACAGCATCATCAGGGGCATGTGGTCAAATTTGGGCTATCCAGCAAGCGCAGAATGTAATAAACATGAAATTGGATATAAATTGTACATAACACTACATTAAAACAAGAACAAATAGTTTAAAATTATTAAAAATTATTCTACGCTCTACATTCTTGTCGGCAACAGGAGAGAGAATCGAATCGTTAAAAATTATATAATGACTATAAACGAATTAATGGAGTAGTAAATCGATGGGAAGACCCTTATTTCGTGACGCTACTGGTGACGCAGTCTCGTGGTGCTTCTTCCGTGACGCTTGCCTCAGCATTTTACTATATGTAGAAAAAAACTAATACAATGCCAGTATAGAAACTTGCCATCACTTATTTGATGTGACTAGCTTCGTAGGCGTAGGACAGTTTGGGTGCATGACATATTTTTAAAAAGACACCAAAAGGAGAATTCTTTGTCTTATATTCCATTCTATTAAATGATTTTATTAAATTTTAAAGTTATTATTGCCTGAGGAAGCCCTGTTTCCAAAAACTTGTAGAATTGGTAGAATCTAATTTTTGTATTGGATATACAAACTGCAGAAAAACTATTGGCTTTTTAGATCTTACTGTTGCTATAACGTTAGTATCTAAAATCAGTAATTCAAATCAGTATACAAAATTACAATATAATTTATAAAATTATATTGTAATCGATTCTCGCTCTTCTCTCTGATTCTCTCTTCTGTTACCGACAAGAATGTAGAGCGTAAAATAATTTTTAATAATTTTAAACTGTTTGTCCTTGTTTTAATGTAGTGATATGTACAATTGATGTCCAATTTCATGTTTATTACATTCTGCGCTTGCTAGATAGCCCAAATTTGACGAAATGCCCCTGATGATGCTGTAGAAAGCGAAAGTACTTGGGCAAGATTTGATTATTAAATTTGTGCTCGATATTTGCCTTAATTTTTCAAAAAAAAACATCAAATTAATATTTTGTTAATAATTTATTATTTCGTCTGACTTATTATGCTTGTCAGAAGTAAACAACGTATGCTTGATACGTTAGCAGATGGCGCTACTAGCAAACATAATAATTTATTGAATTATTTTAATATAATATAATTTGCTTAAAACTATTTCATTAAATTTTAAAATTATTATTGATATTTTAAAAATATAAAGAACATAGTATGAAGCTTCGCGTTAGTCTGCTGTACTAGCTACTGTACTTACCACTTTTTTTTAAACCAATTTTGATGTCATCATTAGACAACCTTAATGCATTCCGGGAAATTTTAACATATTAGGCCGATGTCACAAATGCTTTTAATAATTAAAAGTAAGTCTTGCTTCGATTATTTTGATGTATTAGATAAAAAGCAGAAAATGCCGAGGCATAATAATTTTTCTAATATGAGTGTGAGGAATATAATTGTTATTTATTGTCAGTAACACTTTAACTATTGTGTAGCTAAAAGGGAGTATTCATGATACTATGTCTAACAAGATATGATCTTCCCGTAGCACAAAATTGATCGTGTTCGCGCATGCGAACTTGCATGCGAATAGAATTTGAATTTTAACTTTGGAGTTTGTATGCATTCTGTGATGAAATTATTCAATTAGCAAAATAATATTAAATTATTTTTTTTGTGTTATTTGTGTACGAAAGATAATAATAATATAATATTTAAAAACCTATAAGAAGAAACTAGACGAAAATAAGTTAAGAGGTTTAATAATTACAATAATCGTACACATAAGGATATCTCCAAACCATTTATTAAAAATTATTTTATTCTCAAGTAAGTCTACGACGTTTATCTTCAGCGTTAGGAATCAGCAAAAATTCAGTTTTTACACCGTGAGCATTTTCACCTTTTACCAGCAGATTTACCTTTATACTGCAAAGCAAATAATATCCAATAGAGTCAAATCTGGACCACTCTTGTCAATAAAAGGAATTTCCAATATGAATTTAAGGTTGATATATGGTGTGGAATTTTTGGTAATCATTTTTTTGGGCCATCAATTTGAATGGTAAGAATTATTTTGGGTTGCGTCTTATCACCCCTTCTGTTTAATTTATATTCGGAGTCTATATGCAGAGACGCATTAGATCAGGTCCAAGGCGGAGTTAAGATTAAAGGAATCAGCATAATCAACAACAACATCAGATATGCTGATGATACTGTCTTAATAGCAAGCAACGCACAATAACTACAAAATGTAATAAATGCGGTAAATAAATAAATAGAACAGGTAAATTCCACAAAATATTTGGGAGCAAATATCAAAAGTCAGTGTAATCCAAAAAAAGAAATACTATCAAGAATCGAACAAGCAAGGAAAACATTCATGAACATGAAAACATTTTTTATAAGATCAGACCTTAGTCTGCAGCTTAGAATCCGAATGATTAGATGTTACGTTTTTTCTGTCTTACTGCATGGCTGTAAAAGTTGGAATATTGAGAATTCCATGGGTACAAAGAGTTAATAATGTTGAGATACTTCATCGAATGTGTAAACAAAAAGAATTACTAAAAATAATCAAAGAGAGGAAAATGCAATACTTGGTTCATGTGTTGAGAGGCGAAAATATGAATTACTTCAAGTTATACTGGAAGGAAAAGTACAGGGCAAAAGATCAGTAGGAAGACGCCAGAACTCATGGCTGAAAGACCTAAGGAGATGGTTCGACCGCAGAAATCTTTCGCGCAGCAGTTTCCAAAACCAAAACTGCCATTTGGATCGCCAACCTTCGAAAGGAGACTGCGCCATGAGAAGAAGAAGATAAAATGATTTTATTGATTTGCCATTCAATTTCATGCAAAATATATAGTTTATGCAAGATGGTGCAGCACCACATTATATATACCATATTCCATAAACATTTGCAACTAACTTTATGAAGAAATAAATACTGCCGCAGTTTCTTTTGAACCAATGATGCTATTTAAAATGAGACGATTTTTTATGGAACGTATTGATAAATGCATTGAAGAAAATGGTGGACATATCAAACACTGATAAAAAGTTTAATGTTATTTAGTTGAACCATTTATTAATTTGTTAAATACTATTATTAAATTATCCTACTGATATAATTTATTTTCTTTAATATTTCGTTGACTATTAACTTAAGGTAAACGTATTTTATATGAAAATTTAGAAGTATTGATGTTTTTGTCTATTTTTCCTTCGTTGCCTGGAGTAATTGGGTTAAATCATAATTATGCATCTGAATTGTAAAATGTGATTATCTCGAAAACTGTTTGTGTTAAAATCATGCAAAAACAGCGCCAACTTAAAAAGCAAAAAGGTTAAGCGCACATGTGAGCAAGATATATATGGCATATGTGGCACCCTCATCGAATTATGCATCAAATTATAATTTTTTGAAGTCAAGAGCACCCAGTTGTGAATTTTTATAAATAAATTACATAAATGTTTACAAAAATGAAAGTTATAGCAAAAAATAAAATTTTAAATCTGTATCTTTCTTAATATTAATACTTTATTATTACAGCTAGTTTTCATAAATCGTAATATTTTAAATATTTTAAACTGTAGAATCTACTGATTCCTTTCGTACAATTTCTTAAGGACCACCCTATATATATATATATATATATATATATATATATATATATATATATATATATATATATATATATATATATATATATATATATATATATATATATATATATATATATATATATATATATATATATATACATATACGTTTCTGTGGTTGTACTTCCAAAATAACTCCTATGTGTAATTAAAATTTCAAATGTGTTGTTTTAAGGATGATTGAAAATAGATTTCCAAACTGTCTATTTCGAATGCCCGCGCTTACTCCCCGACGCACGTTGTGATAGGGAAACGGTGTGACGTAGGTGCGTCGCTTCAGTCATTGTCAACTCGACGTCGAAGGCTGATCTGAGACTTTTTATTATATTCGGCGATTATGAAAATAGATTAAATTGAAACAAAAATGAAGTTTGCCGAGCACCTTTCAGCTCACATTACTCCAGAATGGAGGAAACAATATATACATTACGAGGTATGTAGGTCTAAATTATTTTTATATAGTGATATACGTTTGTTGTATATGATCAGTGACGTGCCAGATGCATTTTGCAAGGCGGTAGAAAATTGTTTGTAAACATGACATGATCAGTTTTATTTAGTTCTAATTATGATTCTATTCTAGAACTATCTTTGTAGACCAGGATTATAAATATCTTTTTCAAAATACTACCACTTACACAGCAAAACTAAAATATTATTTGGTTTTTAGATTTTTAATTTAAAAACTGAACAGAGTTTTGTTAAAAAATATTTATACTTTTTATCCATTTTAAAAACATTTTGTGTACCTAATTTTGTGCTCTTTTGATTGACCTTAATAATATGTATCACATCGCAAATACTCTCATAAAGAAATATACCGGATGATGTTCTATAGTCTGATCAAATAAAATTACAATACACTTAAATCGAAATGTAATTTGGTACAGGTTTTATATCTTTTATACCAAAGTTTATGGGCAAAGGTATTTTTAAGTCCATAAGTAGTTGATTTATATAATGGGATCATTCTTTAAATAATGAACAATGTGTGATATTTGCATACAATTTACTTTTTTAAATGTTTTTCAAAATTTTCAGGAAGGTTTAAAGTATTTTTTTAAGGAAAAGCTTTCATTTAAGGCTTGTTAAATTAAATTTTACCCTTAATTTATTTAAATTATTACAAGTAAAGCTTGAAAAATAAAGTTGCATAAAATTATTCTTTGCAAAACAAATAAGCACAATAAATAATATTTTATTTTGCAGATAAAGTTGCGTTATATTACCAATATATAGCAAAAAAAATCGTTCAAAAATATATAATTTGTTTATTAAATGTTACTAGTTTTTCAATTGCAAAAAGGCGTTTATTATTCCCGAGAGAGCATGAATTCTTTTAAATTCTCATTTTCTTCTTTTTTTTTTGTTTCTATGGCTTTTACGCAATGGTAATACATATAATAATTTAGTGGTAACCACTAAGAAGTCTGGCTCTAAACCAACTCGAGCTCACTTACTTGTATCAAATAATTAATAAAAAACATTCATTGTTAATAGGAAGTTATTTTCTCAAATCTCTCAAAAACTGTGTTAGAAGTCCTGGTCTCACTAACTAACGATTCCTTTGAACAACGTATATTTCTAGAGTGCCTAAAGACAGCCATTATTATTTCTCTTCATAAGGGTGGTGAAAAATCTAATGTCTGCAACTACAGACCTATTGCCTTACTACCGGTCCTATCCAAAATCATTGAGAGACTTATGAATGCCTGACTTGAATGCCATTTCTGGTTAAAAACAACAGTTTATCACAGTTCGGCTTTTTATCTAATAAATGTACCAGCAATGCCATGTTTTCTGTATTACATAAGATCTAAACAATAATCTTTACACTGCCACTATTTTTTGTAACTATGCCAAAGCTTTTGATTGTATAAATCACAATATTTTGATAGAAAACTAAATTTCTACAGAATTTGAGGTATTTCTTTAATTGGTTCCAATCTTACTTCATAAATAGTTCCTCTTACCAGGAACAACTAGTTGGAGCAAATGATACTGACTCTAGTCACAAAAACATTGTATGTGGAGTACCAAAAGGTTCAGTACTGGGTAATCTCCCTTTCATTATCTTTATGAATGACATCACTAACTAAAAAATTGAGTTAGTAAAGAAATCCATATTATATTCGGCAACAATATTATACAACCTTATGCCTTTGCAACTTAAATCTACAACTTCTATCCTTCTTCTTCTTCTTATAGTGCCGTGCACCTATAATGCGTTGGCGAATTATCTTAAGGCCAGATGTCTGTCTTTTACGACATGCAAAATATCGCCAGTGTTTTTTATGCCTGTCCAGTTCTTTATGTTTCGTAGCCGGGACATTTGTTTACAACCTACGCCTCTCTTGCCTTTAATCTTTCCCTGGATGATTGGTGAAGTTGAGGGACAGAATATGGCCGAGGTATCCAATTTTTCCTACCTTGATGAAATTGAGTAGTTCTCTCTCAGTATTTACCTTTCTTAAAACTTCCTTGTTTTTCACCCTATCTGTCCATGGTATGCGGAACATTCTTCGCAACGTCTAAATTTCGAAGGCCTCCAACTTATTAATGAAAGGTACTCTTAACCTCCATGTTTCCATGCCGTATAACAATGTGAACCATATATAGCATTTTACGATCCTGTAGCGGAGATTAAAGAAACAATTGCGGTTACATAGTCTCTCTATCTATCTAATCAGCCTTAAACGCCCACTCTTGGGCATAGGCCTCCCCTGTTAATCTCCATTGGTCTCTATTTTGGGCGATCTGCATTCAGTCCTTTCCTGCCGTTCTCTTAAGGTCGTCAGTCCATCTCATCTGTGGCCTTCCTCTTTTTCTTTTCTTTTCCCATGGTCTCCAGTGTAGAATTCCCTTATTCCATCTTTCATCTTTTTGCCGGAGAGTGTGACCGGCGAAGTTCCATTTAAGTTTTGCAACCTGTCTTGATACAGGTTACATAGTAGCGGTTTGAATTTGATAAAAGCTTGTCTTGCTTGCTCGATGTTATCATCTTCCAACAGTTTTATGGCTTCCGTAGTAATTCCATCCGGTCCAGGGCCGTGCCTAGTTTTGCTACTTCTTTCCGAAGGTTTCTGTAAATTGACAAACGCCTATCTACCTGATAAATCATATTATTTAGTGGAAGAGTTTCTTAACAAATAACTAAGAAATTACAGTTCGTTTAGTCACAAGCAACTAAAGTATTTTTATGTATATATATTTGGCTATCACATGTAGCAACTTAAACTTAGTCGTAAACTAGTTCGTAAGGTTTTATTATGCAATTTTCAATTAAGTTAAATTTGGCAATGAATTGTATACATATTTTATTCTCTTTTATTTTGTGATATTGACGATTTATCTAATTTTAGTAAATTTTAATTGTTATTGTTATTATTTTGACTTTTTGTAAGCTTTGTCCATAAAATTGTACAATTTTCAGTGAAAATAAAGCATCTATTCTATGTTAGTAAACACTACAAAAATTATTAGCATTGTCGATTATAGATTTAATTTATTACCTGCAACGAATTTGATCAAAATGCTGACTGATTCTTTAGTAAGTTTATTTAAAATGGAATATATAGTAATTGGTGAATAAATTATAATTCATATAAATGAATTTTGTGTATAGCTTAAAATCCGAAATGATCCTTATGGAGCATTCAAAAAGTATGTCATTTAGGTCCTCTATTAGGCCAGATTCACAGTAAAAGTTGTCCGCGAAATTCAGAAGGTCTCAATTTTTGTTGTTGTTTTCATGTATATTTTTGACAAATGCGTTGAAAATCAAAATTTTAATTCAAATCCCCTCCAAAATGGCGTTTGAAACTTGTTCTAGTTTATTTTTAAGTTTTTTTGTTTATCAATATTTATTTATTTATCAATATTAACATTTAAAACTGTATTATGTAACACGTCCAACGTATTATGTAACAAAAACCTAAAACTGGCATTGCGGATCTCCCTTCTTCGCTGCTACGTTTCCCGGTCGAGTCTTGAACTGTGAAAAATGATCTAAACCGTCTTGAGGATTTCAAAATATGGTGCTATAGAACAATTTTAAAAGTTTATTGCGTAAAGAACATTCGACACTTCACATTACTAGAACGTGTCAGCAAGACTACTGAGATCAAAAAAAGCATCAACAAGAGAAAGCTGGAGTACTTCGGATATGTAATGAGAGGTTCCAAATGTAGATTGCTACAAAATATTATGCAAAGGAAAATAGCAGGCAAACGCAGTCCAGAACGAAGAAAGACTTCATGGTTGAAGAACTTGCTAGATTGATATTATATTGATACAAGCATGCTACCTAGGGTAACAGTGGATAAAATTAAGATAAGGTAACCAAGACTTTTTTTGAAAAATATGCAATATACAAAAATATAAAATTTAATTATAACACCGGTTCCAACCGACTTCTAACAGCCTCTATTCGTTAAAATGGAGTCTTCTCCTATTATCATGTTGTCTTATTTATATGCATTTTAATGTCCAATGCTCCACCTGTTTCAAGAAAGGCGTAAACTACCATTTATTTTTTACTAGTATCCTCTATTTAACACCAATCATATCAATTAGGATGTATCACATATAAGAAGCAACAATGTTTAGTAATATATATTATTTTTTAGGAAATGAAATCGATGCTTTATGCAGCAGTGGAACAAGCTCCTTCCGCTGAACTGGTTGAGCCAGAAATATTGTCGAGGTACTTCGCTAAGTTTGACGAGCAATTTTTTTCGTATTCTGAAAAGGAGTTAACTAAAATAAACACATTTTATTCCGGTAATTTTAACAAATTTTTTTAAGTAAAATATTGATTTAAAATTTATGTTAATTTTCAGAATGATAAGAGATATATGTTTTGAATGTTTATTAACTTATCTTTTATCTTATCGTTCTTTTTGCTTTAAACCATCATCGATATGAGCTAGATGATTTTGCAGTTCCTAAAAGAGACATCAAAGATTAAAAATGGCAAAAATAGTATAGATGGAATAAAAGGTTTTTGGTAATATATGACATGCTTCCATATAAAATTTTGTTGTCAAAAACATATTCAAATAGTTGAGCTCTCTCACATTTTAGAGAAAATTGAATTTTCCGCATTTTACCTCGAGTTTGATGATCTGACTTTTGATTTTGGTTTTCATGAGGCGACTAAAAAAATCAGGACAGTATAATTCGATTATGCAAGATATTTATTGAATAAGACTTAAAGACATTAGACTTAATTTTAGAATAAATAGATCATCGAGTTGTCCTAAAGTAGCCACCCAGTCCTGTATGCTAGAAGACAAAAATGGTTTCTAAATTCATTTATATTTAAAATGCTTTTTATCAAGTCTTCGGAAAGGGTCAGTACCAGTACGATGTTTCTTATTTGGTTCTGTGATCCAGTCATTTCACACTTGAAGTAGGTACTGAGGATACATCTTAATTAATTTCTACCTATCTAATGCTAATCATTGATAAAATACTTCAGAATTAGTCTTACAAGTGCCAAAAAAGCACAGTTCGCGATCATAAAAAAGTCTGGATCCAATTACAACATAACTTACAATGGGAAAGCTAACCCAGTCACACACATGGAAAAATGTATATTGGAAGACACGCCCTAAGAGGGATGAAGTACTACGTAAAACAAACAGGAATTACGTCAGAATCATAGTAGAGTTCATTGATGTACATGCACCAGCCAACGAACACCTGCACGTAATAAAGCTGTTTCATGAGCACCAGATTTTATATAGGTGAATCTAAAACAGACAACCATATTTTTCGTAATTGTCTGACAATAGAGCACAGGTGGCAATAACTTTTAGGATACTACCAAGTGGGTACAAAAATATATAGTACCTAAACACAAGACCTGTACAATCTGTATAGTCCTCGTATAATTAATATGATCACTAGACAGTTTTATAACAGACAGCTTCAGAAAAAATGACATTTTTAATATCTTCTTTTTCTTCAGTCTTAAGTGATCCAACTGTGGACATAGGCCTCCCCCAAATCAATTCAGTGTCTTCTATTTTGCGCCACTTGCTTTCAGTTGTGTCCTCCTATCTTTTTAATATCATCCGCATCTTATTTGTGGCCTTCTTCTGCTTTTCTTTCCTAATCATGATCTCCATTGTTGCATTTCGTGGTTCCATCTCTTGTCCTTCAGTCGGGCATTGTACTGCATCTTTTCCTGCATCTTTTACTTTGGTTTTTCTTCTAATCCATTTGTTTGTTTTTTTGTCTATAAGTCTCACCCCGAGTATTGATTTTTCCATCGCTCTTTGTGCTTTTACTATTTTATCCTTATTAGACTTGGTGAGTGTCTACGTCTGTGAACCATACGTGAATATAGGGAGGATACACCGATCGTAAATTCTGGTTTTCAAATATTGTTCTATTTTAGTGTTTTTCAAGGTCCAACTCACTTTTCCAAATCCTGCCGAAGCTAACCTTGTAATTTCGGCAGTTTGATTTTCTTTGTCAACTTTCATTATCTGTCTCAGGTAGATGTATTCGCTTACTGTTTCTAAATTTTTGTCGTTTAACATTATTTCTCTAATGTTCGGTGTATTTGGCATTATTTTTGTTTTTTCCAAGTTCATCTTAAGACCTACTTTTTCCGAAGCTTGAAATAGTTGTGTCACCATGGTCTGTAGTTTTTTGAAACTTGTAGCGAATATAACAATGTCATCAGCATATCTCAAATGACTCAGTTTTCTTCTATTAATATTTCTTCCTTTATCTGCCCAGTTAATGTCTTTCAACACGTCTTCCAGTCCAAGTGTGAATAGCTTTGGTAAAATAACATTTCCCTGGCGAACTCCTCTATTGATTGATATAGCTTTCGTTTTTTCATCTATTTGTATTTTCGTTGTAGCTTTCTTGTAATTATTATGTATGAGCATTATGTATCGGGAGTCTATCCTGCAATTGTTTATAGCTCGCTCTATTTCCCAAAGTTCAATGGAGTCGAATGCCTTTTCATAATCAACGAAGCCAATGTATAAGTTCAAGTGATATTCATTGGCTTTCTCTATTAGAGTTCTGACTGTAAGAAGATGATCCGCTGTACTGTAACTCTTTCGAAATCCTGCCTGCTCTGTCGGTTGATAGCTATCAAGCTTCGACATTAACCTATTAGTTATTACTCTTATAAACAATTTGTACATTTAGGATAGCAAGGAGATTAGCATACAGTTCTTCAGATCTCCCCTGTCTCTCTTTTGAAGATAAGTATTGTCAAACTTTCATTCCAATCATCTGGAACTTTTCCTCTGTAAAGACATTCGTTGAAAAAATTTTCTAATTCTTCAAGAATAATCTTACTTCCCTTCTTCAACATTTCTACTAGTATTCCATCTGGACCCGGACCCTTATTAATCTTTAGTTGTGCCAAAGCTTGTTTTATTTCGAACGATTCTATGTTAGGCAGTATTTCTGAGTTGACATTCGTTATCTTTCTCTTAAGATCTTCCATTGCAGTGTTATCTGAGTTCTTGTTTGAGGAATATAAATTACTGTAAAATGTTTGAGTAATTTTTAGAATTTCTTTTTTTCTCTTGGTTCGTTTCAATCTTTATCCTTTAATGAGAATATTCTAGGCTTTCCTACGTTTGATCTTAAGCATTTCAGGCCTCGGTTCTTTTCTATTATTTTTCTAACTTGTTTTTATTATATATCCTTAAATCATCCTTTACTCCCTTCTTTATTTGTTTATTCAATTCTTTGAAACCATTGGTGTTTCGCATTCCTTCGCTTAGAAGTCTTCTTTGTTTTTTTCGTTTTCTTTCTAACAGTCAGTCCAGCTTTCAAGAGCTTTCGTTGCATTGCTTTATTAATTGTGTTTATGTCAAAATGTAGATGATAATGTTCTACTAATTCTTTTCTTAAGACTTCTCTGTACTCATCTCCCTTCTGTCGTATTTTATTTTATTTTAGTTTGATCTATCTGATTACAATAATTATGTGGTCTGCTTCTACTGGTTTTCGTCTATTTAATAAGAATCCTTGCTATTAAAAGGCAATGATCGCTGCCAGTTGTGTATCGATTGAGAGCAGAGTTGTGTTAATATCACAAAGTATTATTTTCTTGTAATATTTGAGTTAGATATAACTTTCATATATCGTGCCATTTTATATGAGTGGTGATACTTTTGTAGTACTGATATTTGTCGATTATTTATATACTCAGTAACATTAGAACAGGGTGTTACACCCAGAAGGAATAACTTCTTTAACTTAATTTTTTGACAAAAAACTATATTTAAAACATGCTATGATAACAATACCAATTGATTGTATAATATATAAATATAATATATATTTTATCTTCTCTACTTTTTTAAATCTTTTTGAGAAGAGACCAATTTGTAAAAACCGGCTCGAATAGATTTTTTATTTATTATTCCTCAGTCTAATTTTATTTAGTATAAGCTAATGCTTCGAGTTCAAAGACATCAAAATTACCACCATGTTAGCGGTTTTGAAAGGGGTAGAATTATTACATATTATAGAGTTATGGGTTTGTCCTATCGCAAAATTTACCGTCATGTTAATTGTACCGCAATGTCGGTTATGTGTGTCTGCCGTTTGTGGACGAACAAATGTGGAGGAACACGAAGAAGACCAACTGGTCAACCGAGACGTATCACAGAGCGTCAAGATAGGCGCTTTAGATTGCTAGCTCTACGAGACAGTTTTGCTACTACGCGTCAAATGGCTGACCAATGGTTTGGAGTAGTAGGTAGACCTGTTAGTATACGTACACTATACCATCGTATTCGAGCCTTTGGCCTGGTTTCATTCCTCCCACGACTAGTGCTTTCTTTTACTGCGGACCACTGTCATCAACGGTTAAATTCTTCCAGAGGACGGCAGCGTAGGATGGCAGAATGGCGTAATGTAGCATTACGATGAATCACAATTCTGTTTAGGAATCCATGATGGTCGTAGGATGGTAAGATGCCGCCGTAGAGAGTGGCGAGATATCAGCTTTGCTGTTGAGAGGCATGTAGACAGGATAGTTAGAGTAATGGTTTGGGGGTATTGCTTATGGCAGCCGATCACCACTTTTGTTTATTCGACAATATGACAGCTGCGCGTTATGTTGATGACATCTCACAAACCACTTTACTACCTTATCTCGTAATTTTCTGGTATATTGTGTTTATTTGAGTTTAAGAAATATCTTCAGCGCATGACTCACTTGCATTAGCAACGGGATTAGCCGATGATTGTAATAAAATTGTCTACATTACGGTATAGGTATATTTTTATTATTTATACTTTTTATTTCTACCAATCAAATTTAAGTTATAACAGGAATCAATCCGACATATTCTTCCTTATCTTTTTTTCAGTACAATTCTCGACTTTAAGTATAATTGACTTTATGTTGTTTTCAGAAAAGCTTGCCGAAGCTACTAGAAAATATGCGAGTTTAAAAAGTGAATTGAGTGAAACTCAAGATGGCCAATTCGAAAAAAGTAACTCGGTTAGAAAAAAATTGCTCAGGAAAAAGAATGTCCCGGCAAGAAAACTTCAAGAGATAAAATTGGCATTTAGTGAATTCTATTTAAGTCTCATACTTATGCAGAATTACCAAAATTTAAATTTTACCGGATTTCGAAAAATTTTGAAGAAACATGACAAGGTAAGCTATTTAATTAAAAAATAGCAATAAAGTAAAAACTAAAATATATAATAGTTTATTTATTAAATGTATACCGTTTAAATGTAATATTTTAAATTAATACAAAGGATTAAAAATTGCAGAACGTTTTCGGTCCTATTAGACCATCATCAAACATCTTAAAAATTAATTGAACCTAGCCACAAGATCTAATAACCCTTAAGGTTAAATTCCGAAAGTGGCTGCAGACTGCAGACCGCAAACCGCAGACTGCAGCGACAGTGTCGTCTGCGGTCAGACCAATTCCGAGCAGAACTGCACTGCATCTATAAAACAGCGACAACAGCATGGCACGATGGGAATTTATAATAGTAATAATTTAATAATATTAAAAGTCGTATAAGTAGGATGTCAGACGCAATGAACAACGATGAATTAATGTTATATCTTTTGATGGAAGAAGAAGATGACGACGATCTTTTACTTTTGCATTATAAAAGAAAAAGGAAACCAACTATGTCTCAGACAATTTAAAAATAGACAATTTGAAGGAAGTTATTCAATACTCATTAAAAATCATCTACTGGCTAACGAAGATATATTCAGAAAAAACAAAAATACGTGTTGTCACTCTGCAGTCGGCGACACTACTGGTTCTGGTGCAGTCCTGCGGTCTGCGGTGGCGACGTTCTGCTTGTGGTGGTGACAGTGCCGCTCTACTCGACATTCAGCTCATAAGAACATATGAACCAGTAGGTCCGTCGCTGTGGTCTGCGGTCTGCGGTTTGCAGTTTGCAGTTGGCGGTGGTGTTCGGAATCGTACCTTTAGAGTGCATATTGAAAATATTAAATTTTAAAAATGTTAAACGAGGTCGATGTTTTATGATTTTACTTTAGGATAACATACAGTTTCTTGGTCGAAAAAAGGAGTGAGGCCTACCGTTGACCCAGCCAACCATCATGCGTAGGACTAAAGATCCCGGCATATTATCATGCAGGTATAGTTTCCTGCATGTAGTGTTTCCATTCTAGCAATTGGACTGCTCGTTCACATTTTCGTACATAGCACGTTTCAGTTTGTTTCGGTAAAGATATGATCTCGCTTTTCACGACAAAAATTATGTGCAATTCCTCTTCTACTTCTTCTTCTTAGGGTGCCTGTCCGTACCGAACGTTGGTGAACATTCTGGCTATGATGTTTTCTTCTACTTAATGATGAAGAAAGAAAAACTGTAGTAAAAAAAGGTTTGAAGTATATCCAATGCTAAGAGAAATAAAAAAGGAAGGTGAATACTGGACTATATACAAAGAATTAATTGATGACGTTTGAATATATATTTTAAATTTAATCACACCTTTAGTTAAAAAACAAAATACTACATTTAACGAAGCCATACATATCAAACCAAAGAGTATTTTTAAAAAAAGAAGAGGTATCACTTACGTGCAAAATTGATAAAAGTTTATCACTTTCGTCTTTAATTGTCACAAAACAATGAAAATACATGCATAAATGACAAAATAGCCTCAAAAAGTATTTTTTCAAATATTCTGTATCAAAATCAAACAAATACCTAAATAAACAACGAAGGGAAAACGACGGACATCTAATTCACATTATCCGTACGAACCATTTACGACTCGTTACATAGCCGTCATCATCAGTAAAATATTGTTTTCGAATATACTGAACGGAAACGTTAGCTGTCTGTTACGATAAGTTCCGGACAGTGTGAATTGCTCATATTTAAAACCATTTAAATTATATTTTTTGGAAACTAAACACTACATGCTGGAAACTCAACATGCACGATAATATGCCACGAGTCCTTTTCTCGAGTACCTATATGTCCCCTTAAAGAAAAATCCCATATCAGCGACCTCTTGTCACATTTTTAAAATTTAACTTTTGTAATCTTAGGTGATTTACTATTTTTTGTTAAGAATAAGCCACAATTTTACTTTAAAATAAGTTTATTTAGTGTTTTGACTTCCACTTCGAAAATCATTCGAAAAAAAATACAAAACATTATTAAATTATATAAATTTTGTTTTTGTTACTTGGTTAAAAAATTCTTTTAATAATTTAATTTTACCAGACTTATTCATATTGACAATTCAAAAATATCAGACACATAAATTTTTAAGGCAGATGATCTGAAAATAATATTCTCAATATTTTTGAGTTGCGTTTCTGGGACGACTTTATTGGAATATAGTTCATTCAATTACATCAAATCAACTTTAACTTAAAGATAACTGTCAGAAAAATCATAGCATGTGATTTGTCTTTTAAAAGCTAAAAAAATGGTAAATTGCATTATGATAAATTGCTGATACGGTTTATACAAAATCTGCAAAAACGGGCTTAATAAATTATAAATAAAAAAATAGATATTTTAGTGTTACAGATTCTTACTCTAATTATAATTTAATTGCTTTAGCTCTTAAATGTTGATTATGGAGCAAGATGGAGAGTGGAACACGTAGAAGGTTCATTTTTCTATTTAAACAAGGATATAGATCGACTTATTCACGAAACGGAAACAGCATTTACACAAGAGCTAGAAGGTGGAGATCGCCAGCGGGCAATGAAACGATTAAGGGTTCCTCCATTAGGTGAACACCAAAGTCCTTGGACTACTTTTAAAGTAGGTCTTTTCTCAGGTGCTTTAATTGTCCTTCTCATTTCGGTGATCTTATCAGGTAAATATTTAGAATAGCTCTTAAATTGTTCACTTAGATTATTTTATATAAGATAATAGTAGCTATTTTTATTATTATATAAAATGTGTCAATTTTAAAATTTATAATGGGCTATATCTCACGAACAAAACGTGATATCTAAAATTGCTTGAAACCGTTACTAGAATAGTGAGGCTAAAATGGCATGAAAGAGCACCACCACCAACCCCTAGACCCCACCCACCACAACCAAAAAAATTTAAATTGCAAACCCCTCCTTGTAATTCATCACTGAAAACGCTATAAAAAATGCTATCCAATGGTATAAATAATAATTATACAGGATAAAGCAATAATTGTGAAACTTTTGCTTAAATGTAAAATTTATTGAGGTTTTTGTTGAACTACAAATTTGTTAAAAATGTCAATTAAGTAAATGTTCGAAGTGAGTTCCGTTTTTTTTTGTAAACAATAATATAACCTATTTTCAAATTCTGCACGAACTTTGGCAAATGTTCTAGTAATAGTGAGACATGCTTGCGTAATTCTTTCTCGCAATATCCCAAGTGACGCAGGTTGAGTTTTATAAACAACTGACTTGAGGTAACCCCATAGGTGGTCCCAAAAGTCAGGTGGCGGTAAGTCTGGTGACCTTAGTGGCCACTCAATAGGACCTCTCCTGCCAATCTATTTGTTCGGATAATTAGTATCCAACCAGTGCCTAACTGGATCTGCATCGTAAAGACGTGCTCTATCTTATTCGCTAGAGCTAGGTTGCATTGATCGTCTCTTTGGTTCTCTAATTCATGCACAAATAAAGGTTTGATGGTGTTTCTCAGCATATCGAGATAAATGTCGCCACTTAAATTGCCTGGTATAAACAATGGGCCATTTATAGCATGGCCTAATATTCCTGCCCAAACATTCAGTTTTTTAGGATATTGAATGTGACTATCTCTGAATCGATGTTAGTTCGCATCACTCCAGTACCGACAGTTTTGTTTATATACATTACCATTCAGCATAAAAGTACATTCATCAGTAAAAAAAATATTTTTTAATATTCTTGGTTCAACGCGAATTCTTTCAGTCATGAGTTCACAAAACTCAATTCGGCCGTCATCATCGCCTAGTTCTTGAGGAATTTGTGTTTTGTGCGGCTGAAACTTATGTATATTAATACATTTCTAACCGACTCATGCGAAAGTCCTGTAATTTCAGATACTTAACATGTTGATGCAGTAGGGTCTATTTCAAAATTTCCAATGACCTCAATTTGGGATGCTTCATTCAGTAATCTTGGGGCATCCTTTTTTTTATTTTGATTTCTAATTGTGTCTCTCTAAACATTTCAACCTAATCGCAGACGTACACGTCACTTACATTTTTGTCTGGATGTCTTTCTCTGTGACTTAATCTCAAGTTAATTTTAGGTACTAAGAACTTTATGTAGTTAATGAAGAATAAATCTTTTTTATTTTAATTATTCACAACATATACAAACAGCATAGCTTGCATTTTCCGTCTCCATTATATGTTCCAGTGTTACAAATTTATAAGTTTCAATCATATTTCTGTAAGACCCCAAGTAAGGATGAGAGTTATATTTTCTAACATGTAGGTAGCTTAAAAAGTATTTTATACCCTTTTAACTAAATCTATATTTACTTCTGCATAAGGTGCCCAAACTACAGAAGCATACTACCACGAGGTGTGGTCTAACCAAGGAGTTGTATAATTTAATTATGCTATCTGTAATTTTAAAATGTTTTGTGTTTCTAATTACAAATGCTAATATCCTAAAAGCCTTATTAGTAATGATGTGATAATGTTCATTAAAGTGTAAGTTTTGTTAAAAATTCACACCAAGATCTTTACACACTGATTTTCTTGGCAATTCTTCATTGTTTACATCGTAAGTCATTTTTATAAGTTCCTGTTACGTATGAAGGTCATCACTGAACACTTGTCAACATTTAAATTCATTCCATTTATCTGAATTCAATTGGATACTGCATTTAAGTCTAGTGGTAATAGTTGGCAATTACATTGATTTTCTACAACTCTAAACCTCTTAAAATTATCTGCAAACATTAAATAAGACGAATATTTGAGATATCTAGGAATATCATTTATAAAGCAAGCAAATAAGGGTGGTTCTAGGTTGCTGCCTTAGGAACTTCTGACGTTACCAAATATTTCTCTAAGAAAGAATTATCAAATCTAACTTGTTAGCTTTGATCTGGTAGATATGAATTCAAAAACATTACTGTATTATTTGAAAGGCCGAATGTGCCCAGTTTTATTAATAACAAACCATGATCAACCCTATCAAATGCTTTTGCACAATCAGTGAAGATTACATCCATTTGCCCTTTAGTATTGACGGTATATGTAGCAGATTATGTGAATATAAATAAGTTTGTAATTGTTGATCTATCTGATAGAAATCCATGTTAATACTGATTGAACGAATTGATAAAATTTTTTAATAAGTTGTTATATAAGATCTTCTTCTTAGAGTGCCATATCCCTACGGAACGTCGGCGGCTACCATGCGATCTCGGTCTTGCGCTACGTGTACCAATTGGTCCGCTGTCAAACCTGTCCACTGCCGCAAATTCCTCAACCAAGAGAGTTTCTTCCGTCCTATCCATTTCTTTCCTTCTATTTTACCGTTCAGAATTAGCCGAAGGAACTCATATCTTGGTCCTCTGATTATATGTTCAAGATACTCTAGTTTACGCCTCTTAATAATATTTAATAGGGTTCGTTGATGTCCCATTCTTCGAAGAACTTCTTCGTTTCTGGTTCTGCTAGTCCATGGAATTTTTAGTATTTAATGTCCAAATTTAATGAGTTATTGGATAATAGAGGCTTGAATTTTTTAAATGAGTTTCTTGCCTGTTCAATTCTACATCGAATTTCGAAGGATGGATCTAGATTTTGTGTAATCCAACATCCCAAGGTATTTGAATCTCTGAACTCTCTGCAGCGATTGTTCGTTTAATATCAGTTGGGTTGCGCCGATATCCACTTTACTGGTCACCATGTATTTAGTTTTATCGATATTTATCGACAGTTCCCAATTTGTGCATTCCATGTCAACTCTATTGATTAGCTCCTGCAGATCGTCGATGTTTTCAGCTAGAATCACAGTATCGTCGGCGTACCGTATATTGTTAATTATTTCTTCTCCTATGATAATTCCTTTTTGATCTTTTAAAGCTTCCCTAAATAGATTCTCAGAATACACGTTAAGGAGGGTGGGAGATAGTATACAGCCTTGTCTTACGCCTCGTTCAATACTGATTGGCCTTGATTCTCTGTTGTTGGTATTAATAATGGCTGTTTGGTTTCAGTAAAGTTTGGCAATCAGTTTGATGTCTTTCTCATTTAGTTGGATGCTCTGCAAGGCAATAATTAGTCTGGTAATTTTTTCTCTCTATCTTTTGCGTAGCCGGTCGATCATTTTTCTTCCATTTGGTGATTTATCTCTTAGTGTTTTGACCACTCTGAATTCCTCCATTCTACATATACGTACCGTACTCTGCTTTGTCTCCCTGTTGGCCTTTCAGCATATTTCTTTTAATTCCCGCAGCATTCTTATCTTCACCGTCTTTAACAGTATTTGCAGCATTGATCATTTACCAGTTTTATAAATTTTTGATTTTTTCTAAGGGTTAATATGTTTTGCTATGTAGTAATATTAAGGCATTTTGCCCGTATATTTGCTTACAGGTTTCCATATCTGAAAAGTGTAATCTCAAGGTATTTTATTTTTATTACTTGTTCAATGCTAATGCCATCAATTTCTGATTAACATCTTGTTATTTACATCATCGTTTTATATTCTCTTACTCTTGTGTTGAATCTGTGGACTAGTCTTTGTAGATTATCTTTATGTTGGACTATCAATATTATGTCGTACGCTTTACAAATTATTTTAACATTTGTCTTTCCCATTCTGTATCTTCTTTCTTTATTGACGCTTTTGTTGGCTTAATCCATTATTAAATTGAAAAGTATAGAGCGTAATAAGTCTCCTTATCATATTTCGTTTCATATGTCTATAGGTTCCCAAAGTTGCCATCTATTCTGACATCCATCCTATTATTTTAATAGATTTGATTGACTTTCAATATTTTTTATGATATCCAAGAATATTTCTCTATTATACAAAATATGAAATATATCTTTAAGTCTTACTCTCGTTGTTCATCCTCCAAACTTATCCCACAATTTATTCTTTCACAAGTTGATACCTTAGTAGTTTTTTAACTTTTTTGGTCGCCTTTTTTTAATAGCAGTATTAGTTTGCTTGTTCTTCATTCTTCCGATATTTTATTTTATTTTATGATTTTGCTAATTAATCTGATTAGTTTTTCCGTCGTAACTGCCCCAGAATAATTTATTACTTTATTTGATATACTACCTTTGGTAGTAGTAAGTTCTAGTATTTTCGCAATTTTGCCATGTTTAAATTAACTGTTTCATTTGTACTTATTTCTATTGTTTCTTGTTCTGTCATTTGTTGTCTCTCTCTATACAACTTTTTTGATACTCTATCCATATATTATTTTCTACGTGTTTTGTATCTATAATATTGCTTTAGCCTCGGAGGTGAAGTGATGTGTAAGAAACACATAAAATAAGAGTAGTAAAGAATAAAATAAAGTAAAGAAATATTTGCCAAAAAAGTTTACCGCATTTGCTTCACACACTTAAAGAACATTTGAATTAACTATGTTTAAGTAATTTATCTTTATTTTGTTATGAAATCTATCATTTGCGTAAGAATACATTCAATATAAACTAACTTGGCTCAATTTTTAGGTGTATTCCGAGGAAGAGATGATTGGATTATAGTAATACGACTATATAGGGGTCCGTTCCTTGTAATAGAATTTCTATTTTTGTGGGGAATAAATATATATGGTTGGCGTTCATCTGGAGTCAATCATGTTCTAATATTCGAAATGGATCCCAGAAACCACTTATCAGAACAGCATATCATAGAGATGGCAGCGATATTTGGTGTGATCTGGTCAATTTCTATACTTACATTTTTATATAGTGAGCAGCTTACTATACCTGCTTACGCTAATCCGTTGGCTCTTATGATTATAATGTTTGTTTTTATTTTGAATCCGACGAGAACCTTTCGACATGAAGCAAGATTTTGGGCCTTAAGGGTTATTGTAAGTATAATATTCTTAACAGCTATCTTTAAACAAAAACAGCAAAACATTGTTTATTTTAGATTCTTACAAAATCGGTTACCCCAGTTTCTGAATAAAACTTTGCATAGACATATGTTTATGGACATACTTCTATGAAACATTTTATAACATATAATTTTTAAACTGTCCATTTATTGATTAAGATATTTTGTAGACTTTTAATATGTGCTCAGAGTAGATGTTTAAAGTGGCACGAGAAAACATAAATGAATGCATATTAACGAAATACTAGTAAATAATCTCAAATATGCAGACCATACAATACTTCTTGCGGGCAATAGAGAGATGCTGAAACTTTTGGTTGATCGCATTACGTAGTACTGCGGGATATGGAATGGTGCTGAACACAAAAAAATCATGATTGTCAGTAATAGTGTAAAGTGTAAAGTCACACACACACACACACACACACACACTCACACAGACACACACAAGCACTAATCGCGACAAATTGGGCAAATCACAAACAGCTGCATCACAACTGACTCGTTATGAAGTAATATTCGCTGTTGTGCAACTACTCGTTATGAGGTAAGATCCGCTATTGTGCAACTACTATGCTTCCATATCCCGAGTCGTAACACCATCGTACCTCGTAGACAAAGGAGTAATTGCTGCCTTAAGCGATGCCTCAGAGAGCTGGCAAACTTTGAGGGATTATAAACTTAGCACAACGGAAGCAACTAATTGATATAACCGTAGCCATGGCTCACGTGGCTAGAACCAGATAAGGAAATTTATCGTAATATTCGTAAAACAAATTGAAATGCATATCAAGCAGACTTGGAATATTGTTTAGGCAGGGTTAAAGAAACAATAAGATATACATTCCACCTTTAATAAGGGTGCACTTTCCTGAGTCTGAAACAAAACTGATACCACTAGATACATGATCGACTGGACTGGACTGGTTCTAGATAAAACTTGCCTATGGCAAAAGAAGTGGTAAACTGAAACAAAATTAAATGAGCAATTAACTCATTTGAGCCATATAAATTATTGTATGCAGGCGGAATTTATCCAATACTTGTTCAAAAGGAAAGGAACTTCTGTACATACAACAAATTATGTATAATACTGCAGGCTAGCCTAGCACTGGTGGCTTTGATACCTAAGCCTAGAAAAATTAAATAGTATAAAGTTAAGTCTCGATGGGCGATAAGTCTCATGTCATTCGTACTGAAGACTCTAGAAGCACTGCTTAATTGACATATTAGGGATGGTGTATTGGTTAAAAGTCCGATAAATCAATGACAGTATGCATATCTAGCAGAAGTCTCTACAGAAACGGCACTTCACCATCTATTACAGAGGATAGAGTACGCTTTAGAAAACCAAGAGGTGATGTTGGCTGCATTTTTATATAATAACGGAAAAACCTCGTTCGAAAATACCTCCTACCAAGTAATCACAAGGGCGATTGGTCTAAGAGGAATACATGAAACAAGCTGAAAATAGATGAACTGAATAGTCAGCATAGGTAGCCATAGGCTGCCCGCAGGTGGAAATTTTATTTCCTTTCTAGTAGAATCTGGTCATGGATGGGCTGATAGCTAGACTTATAGGCATTATATCCTGTGCTATGCGGATGACCTAGTCATCTTAGCTTATGTTAAGTTTATTGGCACAGTTAGACAGAATGCAACAAGCTCTGACTGTAGTTTCAGAATGTACTTCAAATGTAGGACTTAACATCAGTCCTCTAAAGTCCAAAATCGTGAAATTTTCCAGAAGGAAAAATTGAGAGGGATTGAGTCCTTTAAGCCTAAATGGTAAACGTTTAAACGGTGTTTAAGACCATACATGGTATACTGGATCTATAACATGGTGCTAAAAACCACAATTACATATGAATCGCTGGTACGGTGGCCAAAGGTGCAGTAAAAAAGTGTTATCCTCAAAACTAAGCAAGGTGCAAATACTTGTTTGCTGCGAAACCACAGGAGCTCTGTGGAGCATACCAACGAAAGCTATGAGGGTTCTACTGGATCTAGCTTCTTAACATTTAATTATAATAGAGGAGATGAGGATGGGTTATTATGGACTACGAGAAAATCTGAGCAATGTACTAAATATATCATGACATAGAAACATAAGTTAAACTAGGGATGCCAAAAGGATGATAATTTCTGACCATATAGCACCGATATACAAACTTGAAGTACTATTTGAAGTGGACACTGCCAACGAGAGGAATAGGACAGAATAAACTCTCGACCCAGACTGCGGAGTTATACCTAGTATACGTACGGGTCTAAAACTGCAGACTGTTTCCAACTAAAGCGGATCAATATATGCATAGGTAGCCAAGCAGCCATTGGTACTCTTATAAGTCCTAAAATGGACTTTAGGCTAGTGTGAGAAATTTCTACACGAACTCGGCAGACTGATGGAACAGTCCTACACTGGTTCCAGGGTTCCAGGTCATCGGGGCATATATGGCAATGAACGAGCTGATCTACTTGCCAGAAGAGTCTCAGCTACAAAATACTTTGTTACATAGCTGGTCGTCAAAGTGCCAAAAATCATAGTTCGCGATCGGAAAACAGCCTGAATCTGAAGCCAACACAACTCACACTGGAAAAATATCCCTGTCAAATACATATATAGATGTATATTGGACAGATATGTGCTCATAGAGATTAAATACTTCGGAAAACAAGCCGGAATCAGCTTAGAATCAAAACAAGCTTCCTTATTGGGCATGCGCCCGTTTAACGACACCTACATACAATGGGACTAGTTCATGGAGAGTTGAGCTGCAGACTCTGTTGACTCAGAAGTGACTCCAAATATATTTGGTACCCATCCACTAGACTTTTATAACCTATGACATGGTTCCAGAATTCTGGAATGGGTATTATAAAGGAATTGAAGATGTACATAAGCCCATTGGCTGCAGTACGACCGCTTATAAGAGACGGCGTCCAGAAAAAAATTGTTTTCAAACTCTCTATACCGATCTCTACATGAATTTTGGTTATACCTTCGAATAACCACAATAATATATAAGTTAAGATCGATTTGGTAAAAATAAAATTAAGAAATATTAAACTGTTGCGTTCGTCGTAGGCTAAGGGTTACGGTTGAAGGTCAATGTCAGCAAAAGAGAAGGGTAGAACATATGCTCAGGCAGAAAGGTATGCCAGAATAAAAGTTCTAAAATAAACTACGTTAAAAATTTGTTCCAGAGCCTACCACGTACTACCTTAAAAAGGATTCTGCATAAGAAGGCCAGAAGGCAAGACAAGGAGTAGCAGCAAGTAAAGGAGATAGTAACTATTTATACATATTTAGAAGCGACTGATACATTCTGGCAAGTTTATGATAAGGAATTACTATTCATTTATTAGTTCTTAAAAAATTTTTTTCTCTTTCTTATTTATTATTATTATATTTATTAATTTGATTAAAAAGATTTATATATTTTCTTCCTATGAGATTGTTCTCTATCCCATTTCCTGGGCAGTGCGTATGCCAGAACTAGAAACATGTTTTTGTAACTATTTCTGTCAATACATTGAACATAGTTTTCTACAAAATATTAATTGGAGATTTTAATTTTCAGGGCAAGGTTTTTATGGCTCCATTCTGTTATGTCTCATTTGCGGATTTCTGGGTTGCAGATCAACTAAATAGTCTAATAACGTTCTTTACAGATATGCAGTATTTTATATGTTTCTACATAACAAATGATAGCTGGTCCATTGGAAAAGGTATTTACTTTTGATAATTAAGACCGTAATTTTCACATGTAAAGGTACCAAAGGTCTAAGGTAATTTCTAAAGATATAAAAAACCGCTGTTTAACTACCTGAAAAATATTTTCTTTTTCTATTTCTATTCTAAAACAATTCTATTTTCTAGTCACTTAATATTTCGCCAACTGAATGTTGGCATCATCAGAGGTGCAATAGGTAGAACTTTTCACAAAAAAAGACAAGACAAAAATTTGTTTGACTATTTCACAATTAGACTGTTAGTCTAGTTGTGAATCTGATTTGATCTAATACATTCACTTCTGACGAAGATAAAAAGCCTTTCTGGTTGTTAATTTAGGAAGGGGAAGTTGCATATCCATGGATAGATAACAAACACCATCTTTGTTTTTTGCGTACTCACGGTCTGCACATTGTATTGGGACCGTGCAAGTTCGGAACAGCGACATCTGGTGTCGTAAATCAGCAAAATTTACTGCGCTTTCATGTTATATCGAGGTTACCGGATAACTGTCAAGGACGTAGCCCCAAAAAAGAATAAGAAGAAAAAGTAAGATTGAGGTTATGTCGGTTATGTTATTAAAAGCCTTAAAAGGTAAACGTTGTTGGTAGTGTAAATACAAATAGATATATTATTAAATTACAGCATTACTGTTAATATGGATGCAATAATAAAAACTGGATTTGAGAAAGTAAATCACCAAATAACTTTTCAACCAAGCACTGAGTCAAAGGGAAAAGCTTTAGTAGTGGCAAATGTCAAAAAAGAATGGAAGAATTATGTGAAAGAATTAAGAAAAATAAGTTACCATAAATAATACTAATGCATAAATTAGCAGGTTAAGCCCATGATATTATCATATTGGTTTGAACAATTAATTCTATTCCTGTAAACTTTTGGCCAGCGAATATATCTTAATGCATCTTCAGAAAAACTTGAACTTGATGCATTTTTGTAAACTTAAAAAAAATAAAATTTAAACATTAAACTTTATTTTTGTGTTAAAATTCTAAGTGAGGGTTATGAAACTAAAATTTACACTTAAAAGTGAACTTTTATTTATTATTTATTTCATACTGATTTAAAATCGGGCGCAAGAATAATGCTAATATAGGTTATGTTACTTATGCTTTTTTATGATATAAATCCACTTTTCTCTTTGTAGTAGGTAGCTTTGTGCTTCGAAGTTGGAAACGAATAAAACTTAAATTGACAATTTTTTGTTGTATTTTTACAATTTATAACACAGCATTTCCTAAATCCCATTTTCTTCAGTGACAGAAGGTGTAAATAAACAAACGAATATGAAATATGAAAATTGATAATATGAATTTATGAAATCTATGAAATTTGCAGTAAATAATGCAAGATTTCTCCGCTACTCGCGCACGATCGTTTCTCGTATCCCCTCCAAGTACTTGCACGTCGCCAATAGAAATAGCTGCCTCGTAATTTTCCTTATGTTGCTCATTAGCGTTTCCACTGCCGCAAGTAGGCAATAAAGTGTCGCTGCGAGGTTCACCAAATGATAACTTAAATTCTTTAGAGATTATGTTGTTATAGGTAGAGTATTTTATTTAAAAATAAAACGGTTTGTACTTTCGAGACAGCATTTTTCAAGATATAGTTTATATATGTTTAATACATTTAATGTACAGGTAAATAGACAAGACATTGTTTATTCGTTTTTTTTTCTATAGTGCTGAGACTGGGTCATAAGAAACAAGCTAATGTCAGTTTGTGTAAGTTTCATGCTTTCCTCTTTTTTTGTACATCTAAATTAATAGGTTATATCTAATTAAACTTAAACTTTTAACCCGTAACTGGCGATGTCCAATTTTTATGGTGTATATGGTTAGGTGAAGTCGCAGTGACCTCAATTTTTCTTTGCGAAATTAGACAGTGATATTTGTTTAATTTAAAAAAACTTATACCAAAATAAACGTTTTTAAAATATTGATGTAAGTTAAACAAAAAAAAAGTATACTATAGTAAACCAATAGTACTTTGTAACTGTCCTATTAATTACCTTGTAAATATAAAATGAAGTTACATAAAAAACTTTTTCCCAATAAGTAAACGCATACATTCAATTTACCCTAACAATACCAATAAATAAATAAAAACAAATTCTAGGATAAATATTATAACTAATTCTTATAGGAAATCTTTGCAAATATGTGTTTCACGAACGTGGCAAAATGGCGCTTCTCAACTAGCTCAAACTAGTTTTGTGTTTATGTTCAATGGTTATGTACATTTTAAGCACACTACCGTTGGTAAACAATACTGTAACAATCTATTTTTAAAATGAAAGCTATATTATGTTTCACTTATCTTTAAATTTAAAAATGGTTAGTCTTCCATATTATGATCCTGAACAAGCTGCCATACCAAAGACTTAATTAATTCATACCTCGACTTTTAAGAATTTCCCGGTGAGAATAAGTATATTAAAAACGCATTACCGAAAGAAATGTAGAAAAGTGTAAAAAAAATAGTAAGAGGTCATCTTTGACTTCGACAAGGTGTAGTAGGTATAAACTATATATTTTTCGTCGAACACATCAACGCCTCGTTTCATACGCCTCTATACCATTGCTGTATGGTATGAAGAGCTGGACCCTTACAGATACATTAATGAAAAAATTAGAGGCCGTTAAGATGTGGATTTGTTATCGACGTGTATGGCGGATAAGTTGGGTTGATCGAATAAGAAATGAAACAGTTTTACATCGAATAAAAAAGAGCACATAAATAACAAAAACGATAAAAATTCTAAAGTTACAATATTTCGGTCATGTAATCAGACATCCAGAGAGGTATAACCTTCTACACCTGATAATATAGGGTAAGATCGCCAAAAGAAGAGGCCCAGGCTGACGAAGAACGTCCTGGCTCCGAAATCTCCGAGAATGGTATCAAGGGACCACCGCTTATTTATTTAGAGCTGACGTAAACAAAGTTATTATTGACAATATGTTCGCCAACGTTCGATAATCGGACAGGGTACTGAAAGAAAAAGATCGAAGACGTCAAAAATACCGCTTTTCGTAATTTAAATAGAAAATAATGTACCTCAATCGCCAAATCCAAATAGACAAGAATCCTTGAGCTTAGTTTTGTCTGGCAAAAAAGAAGTAGGTATCTCCCTCATTTATTTTTTTTACACTTCTCACGTAAGTAATGCCTTACTTTCTCCACTGAGTAATAACTTCTATGAACCAGTTATCCGATATAACGTTACGGTCAGAACCCTACATAGATTTTACTAGACGAAGAACTGATTGAGTTGGTTTGATAAATTTTCTATCCTTTTCTGAAAATTTTTGGCCATTCCCCACAGACCTTGTATAAATATACTTATCTAAAAAGTAATGACATGGTAGCAAGTCTGTTGGTTTTTTGCGTTCTTCCTTTGGAGTTTGGTCATTAAACCGAAGCGTTGTCAAAAGTACTTGGAACCGTTTTAGAGACCTGGTGCACCTAAAAATTTCTCTATCAGTATCATCAGTAGCTAATATTGAACTTGAATCTTCATTATTCGATTTAAATATGGCTGAGTCAAATACCAATTTAATAAAAGCCTTGAGTTCGATTAAATCTAAATTTCTTAGGTCAGTTATATTACTATCGCTATATTTTGTTCTAACAACGACGAGTTTTTCAGTTGTTCTTAGGACAGTGTCTTCTGAAATATCGTTTGTTATTATACATTCCCAAGCACTTTTCTCAAGACACAATTTTTCAAAAGACTTTGCTGGTCCAAAAACACTAGGTAGATGAAAAATAAAGTTGCAACTTCTGGTTCTTACATTTGAAGTTGGAGGTGCTGCAGTTTACTTGTATGGATAATCTGGAACAATTTTTAAGGTCTGCATTCTATGGAATATTATATGCAGCATCTACTGTAGTTTCCACTTTAACGTTTCCCGCACCAATTCCATTTCTGTTCGTGTTCTTTCGTACTCTATGACATAATCGGGATCTGAGTCATCGTTGTCACTCTCATTCGCTTCTAGAACACTTTGAGCCCATTGTTCAAACCTAGGATTATCCAAATACTTTTTTTAACATGTGACCAGTCCTTATATCTATAAAAAAGTAAAAAAAAATTACAAAGATATTTATAAAAAACGTGATCAGTTAGGTAGGGTCGCACTGAGCCAACAGCGTAGTTATTTCAGTATATCTTGTAAAACTAACCTATTTACTTGTAACTATCTCTCTGAACGTCACACAAAACAGTGACAGAAAGGTAGTGAAGTGTTACCACTACCGGGTTAAATTCGCTATTTATGATCATATTTATTATTTTATTACAATTTTATTTATCTATTTGTTTAAATCGCCAATGTTAATAAACAAATAATTTTTAGATGCAAACTACTGCGTAGCAAACTTTCTAGGAGTGAGAGCTTTTGTTGCTTGTCTTCCACCTTGGTTTCGATTTGCACAATGCCTAAGAAGATACAGAGATACTAAGGAAGCGTTTCCTCACATAGCCAATGCGGTTAAATATGCTACGTCGTTTTTTGTAGTCATCTTTTCAACTTGTAATAAAATATTTGACGGTAAGTTTCTTTAAAAATACATACTGTAGCGAAACGTGCACGAGATTTTTCAAGGGCTACCTTTACTTCTAGATATATAAAGTCTTTTACAATCTCTATAAATCTAAAAATATAAATTAAACTTACTCTAGCTAGCTTATCTCAGAAGTATGTTAGCCTTGTCATGATGCCATCGCATGAAAAAAAATTTAGTTTGATCTAAAACATTTTTTATAAAGTAAATAAATAAAAAAAAAACAACACCAAGTCATGCGGATTCTCAACAATAAAGTGTTTAATTAAAAGTGTCTTCTGCCTTTTTTTGGTGACATCCTAGTGACATTTCTTGATCCATGTGTTATGGGTTTTGTTATTTACCATTTCTTGAAGTAGAATTATTCATATCTTCATTAAAGGTTAAGGTATAGCATGGTGGACCAAAACTTGTGCGTAGAAATGTCTCATGAGGTTTTGATATTTATCATATCTTAGAACGGTTAAATTCGCATAAAGGCTTGATAATTCTAAAGGAATGAGCATGCATGGAAGTATTTTGAAGCTCAAGTCAATATTCATAAAAGTATTTACACATTTTAAGCATGAGTAAGTAACATGAATATTAATCAGGTAAACATGAATTTACAGGACCGGTAAATATATTAAAATGAAAAATAAATAAAGATAAAACTGCCCCTATCTTTTAATTTTCTTTCGGTTCTTGTTACAAATTTGGCAACAATGAACACGGTTAAGCAGAAATCCCTAAATACAGTTTTTAACGAGAACTGTTTTTAAATTGATATTTTCTAGTGGAACGATTCGAACGTAGTTATGAGGTTCGAATCGTTTTATAAAGCCCCTTTGTCCGCTTCTTGTGAATCGACGATGATAAATATAATAAAAGTTGAAGTTGTGGAGTAAAAGTGTTGATTTATTGAGAGCTACTGGTAATTACACAATATAATGTTCGTTAGGTAACTACTTATGATAGACTGTACTCAAATGAGAACAAATCCCCAATTTATAATCTCACAAATAATTCATGCCTTAGCACCGAGGTTATTGCTTTCTATCATACCATACTTTGAACTATTTGCTTACATTACAATTTAATCTAGGCCTTAATTGCGACACTTAGGAAGTTCAATTAGAAAATATATTATTCGGCAATTTATTTAGTTGTAGGTAACTGAACTAATTATTAAAATATTATACGATATGGTATTACAATGTCTCACTTATACACGGTGAAACTATAAAAGATTAAGAAGTTAAGAATAATGTGAGATTACAAATTAATTGGTTAATTTGTGATTGAACACTAGATATTCTCAGAACATCTGAATAATATTGAAATTATCTTACTCTTACTTTAGTCTTATAAGGAGGCTGCCCACTTTTAATTGTTTTTATCATGGCATTTCTATTTATTATGTGTTTATGTCAAAAGTGTTTATTATTGTCGTGCTTGTGTCAATTCTTGACAATTTCAAAATGTCTTTGTTAGTCTGTACAAGACAAATAAGGCTAATCTGAATGCTTAATAACACGCTACAGGATGTAATGTAATGGTTGCCGATGAGTCCCAATCTTATCTACGTTTCCCAAGTAGTGGCAGAATAGTCTTGAGAAAAAATGGTGAAAGATATGCCGAGTGCACTTTTAGCTCCAGAGTAAGTTTTCAAGAAGGTTCATTTATGGTGTGGGCGGTTATATAGGCAGGAACTAGGGGAACTACAGAACTAGGGGGAGAACTAGGGGATCTGTGACCGTTGATAGGTACATAAATGAGATACTGCAAGATTATGCTATTCCTTACGCACCATTAATTGCAGAAAACTTTACACTGACGTTTACGTTTACGCATGACGCACAGTCCCGAGTTAAATCCGATCAAGCATATTTGGGACAGGCTTGGGATTAGTATTCAAAGCTGGGTGCTTGTTCCTTATACCTCAGGTTAGCTGAAAGGGGCTATTTTAGAGAAATGGGAAGAAATTTCAGAGAATGAAGTTTAAAACATAATTACTAGTATGCCCATGGGCATCTTCTTCTTCTTCTCATGGCGCCGTCTCCTTTCGAAGGTTGGAAATCCAAATGGCAATGGTGGCTTTGGAAACTGCTGCGCGAAAGATTTCTGTGAATGTGCGGTCGAACCATCTCAAGTTTTTCGGCCATAAGTTCTGGCGTCTTCCTACTGATCTTTTGCCCTGTACTTTATCTTCCAGTATAACTTGAAGGAATTCATATTTTTCGCCTCTCAACACATGATCCAAGTATCGCATTTTACTCTCTTTGATTATTCTTAGTAATTCTTTTTGTTTACACATTCGACGAAGTACCTCAACATTAGTAACTTTTGTACCCATGAAATTCTCGATATTTGTCTGTATATATACATCTCAAAGGCATCTATTCTTTTTTCTATTTCAAAGTCCATTGTCCAACTTTCACAGCCATACAGTAAGACAGAAAAAACATAACATCTAATCATTCGGATTCTAAGCTGCAGACTAAGGTCTGATCTGGTAAAAAATTTTTTCATGATCATGAATGTTTTCCTTGCTTGTTCAATTCTTGATAGTATTTCTTTTTTTTTAATTGCACTGACTATTGATATTTGCCCAAATATTTTATGAAATTTACCTGTTCTATCATTTGACCCTTAGCATACACATGTATGTTTATTGAAAATACTAAAGTTTTAGTTTTGGAAACGTTTAGATGTAAACTGAACATTTCACTCTGGTGAATTACCGCATTTATTATATTTTGTAGTTCTTGTGCGTTGCTTGCTATTAAGACAGTATCATCAGCATCAGCATATCTGATGTTGTTTATGCTGATTCCGTTAATCTTAATTCCGCCTTGGACCTGGTCTAATGCTTCTCTGAACATATGGACATTTTATATGAGACCAAATAATGTAACTCAAATCCAATTTAACAACATTTAACGGGTTTTCACCCAAGTATTTAGTGGCTCAAAACATGTATATCCAGATAGCACTGATGACGAAATATTAGTACTCTGTGAATTTTAAAAGTGGAATATTAAACCTAAATTATTAACGGTGATCATATTTAATTGTTAGATATTTAAAACATGTAAATTGCAGAGTCAGCTACATTCTCTTGATAAGTTTGCTACACAATTTTTTTTTGTTTATTAAGATAAGAGTATTTTGACTTTCCTCTTTTTGCTGTTTGTTTATTTTTTATGATTATGGATGCATCTTTCCATTGTGCTCTGTGTTAATTGTCCCAGGTTAAGTTCAATATATAAAGTAGGAGCTTAACTACCCTTTCACTCGACCTGAGAGATGTATTGGAGCTCATCTCTAGTTTAATGTTGTCTATTTAGTCTCGGCTATTTAACTTATTATAACTTTAGGTGATACTTATAGAAACTCGTAGGGCTTAAGTTGATAATGCTCAAATAATGCTCAAATAATAATGCTCAAATTGAGCATTATTCTATCCAACGCTGAACAGTTTCTCATAACGTGTTCTGCCATCTCATGATCCGTATGACGATTTCTACACTTTCTGTCAGTAAGATTTTGTTCATGTACCCTTTAAGTTAACAGTGTCCTTTTAGGAGACCTACGATAATTCGCAGATCATTTCTATTCATATCTAATAGATTTTTGAATTTCTTGAATGTTTGAGACTCATTGGTTCGTACAAGTGGTTTTGCCCCATCTGTTTCTCTCAGTCCAATATTGTCGTTTTGGCTGTGTTTCTTAATATGTCATTATCCCAGGCATGTTTTCATATCTGGAATTTGTCTCAGTCTAATACTTAGTGGTCTTAAGATTTCTTCCAGATAAAAAGTGTTGCATTCAAAAAGTATTTCATAAATTCAGTTATTTGATCTCCCCTGTGTGTTTCTAGGTTTGGTTTTTGACTGAATAGATCTCAGTGTATTAGTTGCTTAAAATTTCGGTGTGATATTGTAGTTATTTCCTATCCTTTTTTATTTTTCTGATGGACCTTTTTGGACTTTTATTTTATATTATATTTCCACTGCTTCTCGTCCATGCGCCTAATTGTAAAACATATTATCTACTTATCTCCACCAAACTGTGGTTATTGGTCATGTTTGTACACAAAATTAAATTTTTCTTTTTTTAAATACTCTTAAAGAAGCCAAAGAGCTCCTTCCTTTGGCTTCATATACATGTTTGAACCATTTTTTTTACCTAAAATTGTTTTAAATAAATATTCTTTTAACAAACGTAAAATAGTTTCGAAACACAATTCAGATTTCTGCTTTTATCTGTGCTTTCTAAAAATTGCAAAGCAAAACAGACGTTGATAAAGGTGTTAAAAGAGACGTGGGGAATCTAAAATTTGCATTCCACGACACATCTTTTCAACTAAGCAGAAATCCTTAGCGAATTGGTTTCTTGTACTCGTACAGAGTAAATCCGAAAAAAGTGAAAAAGACAGCAAATATTTGATTTCACGCAAACAGCGCCTTTGTATCTGTTGATACGTATTTCGACCTAGATGATGAAAAGATGTGTCGTGGAATGCAAATTTTAGATTCCCCACGTCTCTTTTAACACCTTTATCAACGTCTGTTTTGCTTTGCAATTTTTAGAAAGCACAGATAAAAGCAGAAATCTGAATTGTGTTTCGAAACTATTTTACGTTTGTTAAATTAGATGTCGCTAGTGCGTCCGTATTCGAAGCCATGTTATTGTTGCTTCTTAAAAGACAGGAAATATTGATCTTTCACGTTGAGAACACCTTTGAATAACTGTTCTGATGAGACCTATTAGGTCGAAATACGTATCAACAGATACAAAGGCGCTGTTTGCGTGAAATCAAATATTTGCTGTCTTTTTCACTTTTTTCGGATTTACTCTGTACGAGTACAAGAAACCAATTCGCTAAGGATTTCTGCTTAGTTGAAAAGATGTGTCGTGGAATGCAAATTTTAGATTCCCCACGTCTCTTTTAACACCTTTATCAACGTCTGTTTTGCTTTGCAATTTTTAGAAAGCACAGATA